GTTGCTGCTTCTCCAAATGTGTACAGTACATGTGGAGATTGTTCTGCACTTTGTCCCTGCGGTCGACAGAGACATCTAGCAGTTTGGCTGTGTTAAAACTGAGATTAATTGCGGTACAAATGTGAACTGAGGGTGGCGAGTATGGTTTGTTTTTTTACCAATAACCCCTAGTAAAAAAAGTAATATATTTAAAAAACATTTATTTCATACTAATTATAGTTGAAATCTATTAACATATTTACTGAGATGTTGCTTGAGACTTACTGATATAAAAATAATAATTAAAGGGATAGTTCACCCAAAAATTAAAATTAGCCCATGATTTACTCACCCTCAGGGTATCCTAGGCGTATCTGACATTACTCTTTCATTACTCTTTCAGACGAACACAATCGCAGTTATATTTCAAATTGTCCTGGCTCGTCCAAGTTGTATAATGGCAGTGAATGGTGCCCCTGTTTTTGAAGCCGCAAAAACTGCATCCATCCATCATAAAACGACACCACACGGCTCCGGGGTCAACTGCTGAATTTAAATCCGCTTTGGCTGGCGCGGAGCCAGATCGGACGCACTGAGCGCTTGTCATATTATCACAAATATTCATTGTTATTATATATAAGTATTATATCACTCCATATAATACTTATTTTAGGTTTCAGACATTTAAATACACATAAGTAGCAAAACCATACATTTACAGTTTGTAAAATACATGCTGATGTTTATGGAAACGGCAATAATGATCCTTACAAATTTCGGGAGGAGAAGATTAATTTGCGTGTTGTAAATCCCACAGCTCGGATTCAGCGCGAACTAACATGGCGGCGCCCATCACCCGGTATAGATCAACTAACACGGTCGATATAAAAGTGTTTAAACTACCAAACAGATTTAATTGTACATATTTCAGAATCGGAATATCAGATATTTCATAATATAGTGAGCATGTTTGTGAATATTTTGAATAAAACAGGAAAAACGAAATAAAAGCGATCCATGTGTCACACAGATCTATTGTGGCTGCGTTGTGTCACGTGGCAAGCATGACGCGTCGCCATGGAAACAATAAGGCGATACATTTTAAAATAACAGTCGCCTAAAAAAAACTCATGCTGGGGGCTCAGATAGAATATTTTAAACTCACGTGCGAAAGGGTTAATAAAGGCCTTCTGAAGCGAAACAATGCGTTAGTGTAAAAAATATTCTTTTTATTAAAAAAAATTTTTTGGGGGTGAACTATCCCTTTAAGCACATAAATATGTAAACTTATTTGCAGTATACTTAGCATGAAATAAATGTATTTAAAATATATTTTAGAATATTTATTTTTCACTAGGGATAGACGTCTTATGACTTTCTGATGCATATTACGTTCAAAACTGCAAGGTATTGGTCTGATATGAGTGCTGGGGAAAATGAAATAATCACTGTTTGGCTGCTTAGTGGCATCATTTTAAAAGACACACTACCGTTCAAAAATTTGGGGGTTTATACGATTTTTTTTTATTATTATTTATTTTTTTATATATAGAAAGACAGTAATACTTTTATTCAGAAAGGACACACTAAATTGATTAAAGTGACAGTAAAGACATTTATAATTTCTGTTTCAAATAAATGCTGTTCTTTACTGAAATTCTGAAAAAGTTTAGGCTATCACGGTTTCCACAAGAACTATTAAGCAGCACAACTGTTTTCAACATTAATAATAAGAAATGTTTATTGAGCAGCAAATCAGCATATTAGAATTATTTCTGAAGGATCATGTGACACTGAAGAATGGAAGAATGGCTGTAAAAAGGAAAAATCAGCTTTGCCATCACAGAAATATATTGCATTTTAAAATACACTTATTTTTAATTATAGTAATATTTCACAATATTACTGATTCACTGTTTCTGATTAAAGTAAGACAGCCTTCCTGAGCATGAGGCTTTAAAAGCATTAAAAAAATTTAAAAATCCTACCAACCCCAAACTTTTGAACGGTAGTGAATTCTGAGTTTTTTTAGGCACTTGGTAAAAGGTCCACAATAAGAGCTGTCTGTCAAAAGATCAGTATTTTTTCAGTATATACACATTTTCTGCTATTCCATTGGTTTCTGTATAACTGTCACAGCATTATTTTTATTTTTTTCCCCATTAGTCTATTATTCTTTTATGGTCTGTTATGGTTTAGATAAGCCCGCCCCTAAATGGCACGTAAAAACAAAATGAGCTTTCTATTCCAAACCTAAACAGGGCTTACCAAGCTCTGAATTCTAATGTTCTCATGAGAAAACACCACATTTATCTGTCTTTAGAAATTTAGTAATGCGTGTATGAACGCGTGAGTGTTTGTGTATTTCTCTGTCATCCGTCTATTACTCTATACTCTAAATATAATGCAACATTCCCTCTCTCTCTCTCGCTCTCTCTCTTTAATGGCTTTGGTTGTGGCTTAGCTACTCCGTTTGTGTCTGTGGTTTCTTTGTTGTAGGATGCACAGATAGCTGCTTGTAACACTGTACAAAATATTTACCCAGTTCACATATGCTGTCCAGTCATTTTTCTTCTTGGTTTTACTCAAACAGCATCACAGGCTTGCTTTGCATGTCATCTCCCTTTTATGAGAGTATAAGGTGGCATAGTTGTGAGACTGGAATACGCTACACAACTTTTGCCCAGATTTTTGCCCCAATTTGCTGTCTGGATGTGTCACTGTAGTTGCCAAAGTCAGACCCAGTCTGCAGATTTTAGGCAATTGGAATTGACAGATTTTCTAGTGTATGATGACCACAGACTTAGTTTTTGTTTGTTTGTTTTTTTAGCTTCAGACTATTTATTATTCCATCCAGTCAGAGGAACTCAAACATGTTTGATATTTTGAGCCTATTGTAGTATATAAAACCAAAATTGTGATTTATCAGATGGCAAAGGCTGCAATTTTAGGGTTGTTACTAATGATTATTTTTTTCTATTGACTATTTTTTCACATTATTTCATTAATCTAAGCATTATTTTCCCCTGGTAAGTCTATCCATTATTTTCTGATTAGTTGATTAATCCTTTGGTTAACTTGCCAATAAATAATAACCATATCTTCTGCCATTAATTGTTCAACGTTTTATTTGTGTTTTCTTAAAAATACTTGTTTTACAAATAAAAAATTCCCAACATAAAAAAATAAAGTTTCACGAATTAAGTTATTTATTATTAATACAAATGTCAAATTTGCATGAGCATAAATGTCCAGCATAAATTCAGCCTAACAGCGACTAGTGCCGAATATAATTGGAAATGGACTTGTATTATTTATTCTTAGGTACGTGTTAATTTTACTTACACAAGTAACACTTGTTGTTTACAAGTGTTGTTCCGTGTTTAAAACACTTCAGTAAGTATCATTGTATCATTCAACACTTTCTGTTAGGGATGCACCAAAATGAAAATTCTGGGTTGAAACCGAAAATTCTGGATGCACTTGGCCGAAAACCGAAAATGCTTTGTAATAATTATTTATTATTTTATGAAATAATATAAAGTAATTTTGTAAGACTTTTTAAATTTATCTCAATTTTAATGATACTGAATTAAAAAAAACACAAGCCAATAAAATAACCACACTTTTACTGAAAGTAACACAATAAAACTGGACAGAATTTATATTAATATTGGTAACACTTTACAGTAAGGTTCATTAGTTAACATTAGTTAACATTAGTTAACTACTTTAGTTAACGAACTAAGAATGAACAACAGTTCTTCAGCATTTATTAATCTTAATTCATGTTAATTTCAACATTTACTAATGCATTATTAAAATCAAGTTGTGCTTGTTAACAGTTAATGCACTCTGAATTAGCATGAACTAACTGAACTATATTCTCATTAACTAACATTTAAAAAGATTAATAAATACTGTAATAAATGTATTGTTCATTGTTCGTTCATGTTAGTTAATACATTAACTAACATGAACTAATGGAACCTTATTGTAAAGTGTTACCAATATTAAATATCAATATATTATTTTTATTCACTAACAGAATCAGATATAACATATAAGTTGTTGTTGTTGTTGTTTTTTTGGACTAATTATCCAAATAATGTATAGTCCTACAAAGCTATTAGCCTATTAGCTATTAGAGCATATGAGCGTACCGCTCATGGTCGGTACGCACATTCATAGAGCGGAATATTGAGCGGAGCGTCAAACCGCACAGTGATGAGGAGAGTGAAGCCTGCGCGCTGAACACTGCGGGGCACGAAGTGGCGCGCCATATTTATTATTATTATATATTATTTTTATTCACTAACAGAATCAGATATAACATATAAGTTGTTGTTGTTGTTGTTTTTTTGGACTAATTATCCAAATAATGTATAGTCCTACAAAGCTATTAGCCTATTAGCTATTAGAGCATATGAGCGTACCGCTCATGGTCGGTACGCACATTCATAGAGCGGAATATTGAGCGGAGCGTCAAACCGCGCAGTGATGAGGAGAGTGAAGCCTGCGCGCTGAACACTGCGGGGCACGAAGTGGCGCACCATATTTATTATTATTATATGTAGCTTATATTTTCGGCTCTTTTTCTATTTTCGGCTGCCGAAAATTCAGTGCATCCCCACTTTCTGTGGTTGTTTATTTTGTGCTAAGAGATGATTGGTTTACGTTTGCTCCAGACTGCTGCTTGAGCTGAGGCAGATACTCTGTCACACCACATTAAAGCGGTATTTATTTATAGGTCAAAATGGTATTTATAGTTTAATTTTCATGATAAAATTGACAGAATTTGAAAGACGAGAGCTTGAGACCAAAATACTGTAGGTTCCCTGAGAAATAACAACTTGTCTCTGTGACAGCCATCACAATACTAGACAGTACTAGAGCCCTCTCATTATAATCATTAACTGATTAATTAGTTAATCACAGCAGCCATATAATCGAAAACTATTCATTTTTCAATTAATTATGCAGCCCTACAATACATAATCTCACTTCCCTCATTTCCACAGATTAACCCAGTCCTGATATACACGTCTTCAAGGAGGCCTGTCTACGTCCACGGCGCCAAGACCCCTGTAGTATCCTTCCACATCCCCACGTCACTGCTTGACTTTTCCTGTCCTGAGTTCCTCTGTCATGTCAAGCCCTAGCAGCAGCCCAGAGAGAGAGGGAGGGATGGCAGGTTCTGTTCAGCTGGAGGACCTCAACTCGCCTCCTGGTCTGGAGACTGACCCTCCTTTAGCTGGCAGCCCAGTGCTCAGTCCAGATTCCAGTTCCCATGATGCTGCGCTCTCTGCCCCAGCAGCTTCCCCGGCGGACTCCGAGAACCTCAGTCCAGATGAGCTTGAGCTTCTGGCCAAACTGGAGGAACAGAATAGGTAAAACAAGAGCAATGTATGTGCAAACGTTTTGCCAGTATTTTTTGTCCATGCATTCTTCAAAAAAAAATTATTTTATGTTCCACAGAAGAAGAAAAAAACTCAGAACAAGGTTTAGAACAACATGAGATGAAATGATGACAAAATTGTTGTTGTTTGGTGAAATATCCCTTTAAAGATAGAGTTCACCCAAAAATAAAAAACGTGCCATTGTTTTCCCACCCTCATGTTTTTTCAAATTGCATGACTTTCTTTCTTTATGAATATCCTGGTTACTCTTTTTTTCTATATAATGAAATTGAATGAGGACCAGAATGTCACGTACCAAAATGTCAAAATTTTGACCTCATAATTTTTTATCAAAATGTCATAACTCAATCTACCGGTCAAACAACAGACTCATCTCTGGTGACGTATGCCGGACTTCTGCAATAATGGAGTCCACTTTAACTCCGCCCCTTTTTTACAATCGACTGCAAGCTCACATTCAGATCTGCCTCTATCCAATCAACAACCAAAGGTTAGAATAAATTCCCTGCGTTACATTTTTTTACATTTAAAGAGTTATTTTTTTTGCCTTTATTTCGATAGGAGGGGGAACAGGATCGGGAAAGGTCAGTGAGCCAGGACTCTTGGTGCCGACCTGCTTTACATTTTTTATTCTTTGATAATCCATTCACTCAGATCCATTCTTAATGTTTTGTTCATAAATCTGATTTATCCGGTTCTCGGGTTAAACTCATTAACTCAATGGTCTGGTCTCAGCGGTTAACAGCTCACTGAAAAGGAAGAATGCCAACCTAAAAATTTTCTTCTTTTTTTTCTTTCTTTTTTTTTTTTTTTAAGTTTATCACACAGAGCTATCATGTGACTTCAAAAGAATATAATGAGTATAGACTTTTCTTTATGTACTTTTTTGTAATTTCAGAGCTTGATAGACCCAGTTCTCATTCACTTAGAATATATTACAAAGGAGTGGCCAGGATACTTTTTATTAATCACAAAAAAAAAGGTTCCAAACCTGTGTGGAAACAACATGTGAGTATTTGAAACAACATCAGGGTGAGCAAATGGGTAATTTCACAGAGCAAATGTCAAGCGAGTATTAAAGTGCAATGCACTATATGCATATGTCATGCAGACATACACATAGTGTGTTGTGCTTTGATACTTGACATCACTCTGAAGGTAGCAACGCCTCAACAAAGGGAACACAATGCATGCTTGATACCGAAAGCTATGTGTGTGGTTTATCATTTGACCTGTGAGTGGCAAACTCTTAGCAGTTAGTCTCCTCTTTCTGTAACAGCTGATATGTAACAAGCTTTCGCTATTAATCAGTTGTGGTGGTTACCTGGCAACTACAATAACAACAGTTACTATGCTGAATGTAGAACTTTAATGGGCCATTTAAGAGGACAGTAGCTGTGGTCGTAGAAATTTGTTTAAAAATTCTCTGTGATTCTGTCAGACAGGTCGCTAGGATTCCTTGAGATTTCACAAAACATTATTATTATTATTATATTACACTATTATTCAGCCGATATAGTCTGCCTGAAATACAGTATGTTGAATTCAAGCGGTGTTAGCGTCAACAGATGTGTATAAAGAAGCATTTGTATTGTGTTTAGTGGTCTATGCCAAGGCAGCCATCACTTACTATTACTCATACTTGACTAGGAATTTGAACAAACTTTGTGTCCCACACAGTGTGTGCTATGGACATGACATTTGACATACTTTAGGAGTGATCAGACTTACATGTTCATTTATGTTTGCCTACTAGACAATATAATAGAGAAAAATATCTCATGCACTAAAGGTCACATATACCGTAGCTTGATGAAATTTCGCAAGCTAAATCCAGTCATTTCAATAGCAATCAGTGCAATTGGAAATTCTGCGTAACAGCATATCCACACCAGACGCGACATGACAACGCAACAGAATGACTCAAATATCAGCCATTCAGAAGCACAGTGCACACCCAGCGAAATGAACGTTTATCATCTAATCATCTAATATTAAACCTTTTTAACATGATTAAAAGTAAATACTGAGGGACTGATCCCATCTTTGTTATGGAATACACTTGTTTTTTTCGCAGAGTCTTAACCTACATGTTTGCTTTAATTTATTTTCAAGATCTGAGGTAAACGATCTATTGTCGCTTTCAGTATAGCTATAAAGTCATGCAAAATGATAATCAAACTCACATTAGACGCTATTAACATTGAATAAAGCACACAATCGGTACCTGAGATTATCTCTGTCATAGTTTGTATGTTGTTGTTCCAGCCGTGACGTCGCAGAAATAGAAACTGCTGGTTAGGACAAAAACTTTGATTAACATGGAAAAGATTCCTTTTATCACACGTTGCAGTGTCACATCGCGTGTTAGGACTCGGTGTAAGGGTGCAACATTTCCCCGTGCAGATTTTGCGTCAAGTTAAAGTTTTTCACATGAATTCGCTGTGTTGATCAACAGAATGCTGCATGGTTTGAAAGTGACTTCTGCGTGAGCTGTGCTTTATATATCTCTACACTGTTGACAGTGGACAATAGATTGTTTTTGTTGTGGAATTTGACCAAAATCACGCTAATGTGACCATGCTCTTACATTTGAAGGAGGGACCCAAGCTATATCTAGAGGCCAGAATATCAGAGGCTTTGTGGTGGGCTCTTTTGACATTGCAACCACCTAGCAACTAGTGCTGGGTTAAAAATATATGGATTACTCCATTTTAATCGATTCTCATTTTGATGAACCAATATCGATTCTTAAATCCCAAGAATTGTTCTTTTAGTCTAGGCTGTTTTCAGTTGATGTGTGATGCTTTGAGATGAAACAAAGTGTCAGCTTTCATATTATGTTAATTTTATAACAAAATGTTATTTTTAAAAAATCAAACAATGTTAAAATAATGAACGTTTTGATGCTCTTTAATGGGCCATGACAGATCGCCATAGCACCTCAGTTCAAGCAAAGTGACAGTGCAGCCGTTTTCTTTAGAAAATGAAAAAAAAATTGAAGTTATTTGTTGTTGTTAACTCATCCTGCAGATTGTACCCTAAAAGCCCATGTTCTTGATCCTAATCACAACCAATGCACAGTGTAATTGCAGTAATTGCGAATTTGCATTTAGACAAGTTCTCTTGACTCAAGTAAATTCAAGGACACAGTGGTGATCATTTATGCAGGAGATGTATAAGTCCTATTAAAGGGGTCATATGATGAGATTT